TATGTCCAAAAAACAAGATTTTCTCTACTCTCTCTGTTCAGATCATGAAGTCTCTATTTTGTTTGAAAGGCGAGTAGGAGTCCCATGGCTTATGACCCTTAGAGAACTCAACGGTCCCTTCAACAGGTGCAAATACAAGCCACCATTTTGCACTGTGAAGACATGAGCCAGAAGCAGTGAAAATCCAGGGTCCTGTGACAGAAGCTGTGCAATAGCAACAAAAGGAAGACCTTTAAAACCCAAGGGCAACTTGGAAGCTAAAAATGCAAGGTAGGGCTTCCCTGGTGGCGCAGTGGTTGAGAGTCCGCCTGCTGAAGCAGGGGACACGGTTCGTGCCCTGGTCCGGGAAGATCCCACATGCTGCATAGTGGCTGGGCCCGTGGGCCATGGCCGCTGAGCCTGTGCGTCCAGAGCCTGTGCTCCGCAACGGGAGAGGCCACAACAGTGAGAGGCCCGCATACCACACACACACACACACACAAAAATGCAAGGTATCTGAACATGCTGCGTCAAGTCAGCGGAAATCTTGGTTTACAACAGGTTGTGTGGCAGCACTAGGAAGCAGCACCAGCCTCTCCCTTGTTCTGCATGTTGGTGTTTTCCTATCAGTCATATTTTGGCCTTGTACCATAAACTTCATGAAGGCAGGACTGAGCCTGCCTTGTCTGCAAGAGCCTAGCACATAGTAGGCAGACAGTATGTGTCTGCTGAATTAGTGCCAATCTGTGGCAGAGGGCGAGGTTCAGTGTTTACTGCATTACAGGCACCAAGACTCTGTAACTCCCATCATCCTTGGTGTCCTGGGAACTCTAGACTCCCTCTGAATAGAGAGTGCCAATTGCCACTTGAGTATATGACCTATAATTAATCTTATCTCAGTGGTAAACCCATAATTCATGTTGGTTTTGGGGGGTTTTCTTTTTGTGTTTGTTTTTTTGAAAATGAAAATTGAGTGTCCTGAGAAATGAACTCACTTTGATCTGGACATGTGAAGTCAAAGTACAAAATTTCTATAGTGTTTCTGCTTAGGGTGTGCTGAGGCATCAAACAGACAAGTAGGGTCACGGGCATTTCCAAAGGGCTGGGTGGTTTCATGACTAATCACTGTAGTTACATGCTTGTTCAGATACTGGTTCCCCTGGCTACAGAGACCAAGTTTGTGGAAAGAGGAATGGAGATTTGATCAGGAGAGGTTTAAATAGAAACAATCCTTTTTACTGGGGGGTCGGGGGGGGAGGTGGAGTGAATTAGCCCACTCCCTGGGCTAATACGAGCATTCTGTCAAGTGCATCACTGCTCGGCCCCTGCTGGGGGATGAGGCTCCTGCGTGGCAAGCTGTCATCCTACCATGGATCTGGGTGACGTGCATGGCCCCACCCACAGCTGGTCACCTGCTCAGCCAGGGAAAATGGCATACATTCAAGGTGCACAGGAAGGCTTCTGGGGCTGTTTCTGGCCACGGAGAAACTCAAGTCTGCCTGGAAGAGGACACAGCTGTAATATTGGACTCATTTGCAGTCTCTCTACCCAGCAGGATAAAAATACCTTTTAAAAAAGAAAGCTTTCAAGACAACGTTCTTAGAAAGCAACCTTCTTAACATCTCTTCCTTCTAGAATTCCTGGGCCAGCTCGCTCTCAACTATTGCTATCTGCTGGTCTTAGTAGGAAAAGCTGCTCAGTGCTCTGTAGAATCAGGAAAATGGGAAAGGAGTCTGGATCCACAGCAGCACCCTGCAGGCAGAAGGGAACCCAGGCCCGGCCATCTGCTCCTGGATGACAGATTAGTCTTTGGGAGGAGCTTTCTTCTAAAAGGCAGAGGAGTGATTTGAAGAAAAGGAGATGTGCATCTCCTGCCTGTTCGGTGGCTTCGTGTGGCTGTAACTTATCTATTTGTACCCCAGGTTCTATGATTGGGGCAGGAGCCCAATAAGACAACCCCAGAAAGCACAGCTGGATGGAGAGAGACCAGCCTCAGGGCTGAAGTCATGACTGGGCTAAAGGACCCTCTGAACACGTTTTCTTATGACTTGGGCTGTTTCAGCTGTTGATGAATTTTTTTTTTTTAATGCTGAGGGATATTTTAGGAAAGAAGACCTTTTGTAATGCTCAGCAAAAATAGTCTGGTGTATTATTCTTCTAGGAGTTGCTCATAACAGTTGCCGAGAAATCAAGATCAAATACCTTGGGGGCTGAACCCCTGAGAACCCTGATGAACATACATTGCCCAACCAAAGTTCACCAGCCCACACACATTTTCCAACTTCCTGCAGAGTGCCCCAGGGGAGGAAGTAAATGAAATCTAGAAAAATTCACACAACTCTTGCAGCAGGAGGGTGACACAGCCACTGTATGGCTAAACGTTTATTCCCCCACCAATGTATTCTTCAGAGATGGGTGATGTTTCCCTTCTAGAGACTGTGGTGGACATGCCAGAGAAAGGTTGGGTGATACAGTTGCTCTTTGAGCTTCAATTTAAATGAGAGGAAAGTTGCAGTATTAGAGATGGGAAGATGTTCCTACAGAAAATTTTGGGTAAAATTTTGAAGGTGGAAAAAGACCAGGGAAGGGGGACCTCGGTCATAGGCAGGATCTGTCAGCTGGGTGCCGTCTGACCATCCGCATGTGGTAAAGCTCTATTTCTGCCATCTGGTCTGCAAGTTCTTCACTGTTTAATGTCGAAAACATGCCACTGATATAGGCTGGAGGGAAGTACAGAGGCCTTCTTCAAACAACGCAACCAGAGACTGCCAAGTTCAGGTTTAATTCAGCTGTGTATTCAAATATATTGACAACGCATCTCTCTCAAAGACAAAAACAGAAACACCTTAAAATAAAAATCCCTTAGCCTGGTAAATGGTACCTTATGGTGGATGAGAGGATGTGTGGTTATTTTAAAAGTCCATCAAGTCTAGTTGAGGTCTCGGAACGGATGGGGGCAGGGAAGGCGGGACAGCAGCATAATGATAAGCAGAACAGGTTTTTATCTAGATCACTCTGTCAGAAAGTCATATCCTTCTATGGGTCATGTTTGTCTCCTTGAACCCAGGATAGGGTCGGTGGCGGGGGCCAGTTAGATAGGGTAGAACCCAGGACACCTACCCCAACCCGTTAACACACCACACACACACCCTCGCTACATAGAGATGGTTTCTCTTTTGTTGCTGTGATATTTTTGGCATCAATCAATCCCTTTAAAATTTTTATTTTCTACTTTACAGAAAGAAACTACCCAGTAAACACGAAACTCTAATTAGTTTGCATCCCCTGTGTTCATTTCTAATCCTTGCCAATATTTATGTGCATAGTCATCAGTGTGAATCTACATACTTTGTGTTCTAATTTTTCACCCACTACGTTTTTGTCTCCACATTTCCACACGTGGATAGTTAAGTTGTAGTCATCGAAAGCCCCACCAGGGTAGGAGACATACACTCACTTTTTTTTTTTTTACACTCACATTTTTTATGAGCTACCAGTTCCTAGCCAGCCTCCTACTGTTGGATTTGGAGGATTAGTATCAGATCTTTGCAGTTATGAATAGCAGTAGCAGTATCCCTGGACATCTCTTCCTAGAAAGGTATAATGTGATTTGCGCTAAGCAGAAACAAAGTTCAAGCCCAGAAGAATGAAGTTAGCTGGAAGGTCCTGGCTCCTTACTACTTTATAACAGGCCATAGGTTTAAAGTCCGAAAGGGCTCGGATTTCTACTCCATGTTTGACATCTCAGAGAGCTGAGCTGACTTCCCTGTACCCTGGCCCATGGCAGTGACATGAAGGCACGGCAGCCCTGAGGCATGTGGGGACAGAGACACCAGTCACACTGGCATGTGTAACCTCCACGCTCTTCTCTCTGGCTCTTCCAGCGTGGATGAGAGGTGACCCTGCCTGCCCACTGTTGCAGAACACAAGTGGATTAGCCTCAGGAGTTGCTGGGGAGTGGCAAGAAGAATGAATGGTGAGCAGCAGTGACATTTAAGGCTCAGTGGGACTTGCAGAGGCATGATGGGAATGCAGAAAGGCAAGGCACAGACGGACTGGACACAGCTGGAGGCAGCTAGAATCTGCCCAAAGGTTTCTAAGAGCTGGGCTCCAGGAAGAGTGAAAAAGTCTACAGCTAAGGAGCTAGGGGTCCTCACAAAGGGTGGCCTTTTCATCTCTTTCCTATGCTCTCTTCCTTTTTAAGTCACACCTATGGTTTATATAAAATATACCTTGAGTGTTCAGTTTAAATGATGGAGAGGACTGTCCTTATCTATTTGCAGCCAGAAACTGCTTCTTTGTTACTTTTTTCCCAGCACAGCATCCAAGACAAAGTAAGTGCTCTGTGAAACTTTGTTGAAGTGAAGCTTTGTTCTTCTGAGTCACTGCTAAACTCCAGGGTGGGATTCCAGTCCCTCAAATTGAGGTCAATACTTGGTTCTTAATAGAGCTAAGGCAAACCTTGGTTATTTGCTATTTTTGTTTGTCCTGTTGTTTTGTTTTTTCCTTTTCAATTACTTGGTTGTGATTTGATACCTTGCATGGGTTGAAAAATGTAGTTGATTTTACTTTACTTTAAAACTTTTTTTTGATAGGCAAGAAGCAGATTTATTAATATCCTTTGTAAAGAGTTTACAGAAAATGGATCGTGGGAGGATGGTCATGTCCCAGGTCTTGGATGAGTTCCTGGGACAGGCCACCAAGTGAGGGTCCTTGGCTTCGTGCAGGAAAGAATTCAAGAGCAAGCCATAGTAAAGTGAAAGCAGATTTATTGAGAGAGATACACATTCCACAGGCAGAATGCGATCTGTCTCAGAAGGCGAGTGGCCGTAGTTGACTTTTTTTCTTTTTTGCGGCCACAGTTGATTTTATTGACTCTCATATAGCAAACAGGGTGTCTCACATTTAACAGATGCCTTCGTAATACCATTAACTAATGTAATTCAAGATGTATGATGAGTTACCAAAGGCAAGTAAAATGCCTAATTCTGTTTTCCTTTCTCTGTGTGCCTTTCCAACAGAGCTCTCAACCCCATTGACATCAAGTGCTGAGGAGACTCATAGATCTGAGCACCAAGAATTCAGGTCGGTCCTCGGCACATGGGCATCAGCATCATCTACTAGCTAGTAGGATGGAGACCACACCCTTAAATTCCCAGAAGGAGCTAACAGCATATATGGATGGAGAAGACTGTCAAGGAAACAGTGTTCTACAGAAGGGTGTCCCTGCCCCGGGGGATAAGGCGGAGTCCAGCCAAATTTCGAATGGGTACTCAGCAGTTCCAAGCCCCAGTGCAGGAGAAGACACTCAGCATTCCATCCCGGCTGCCACCACCACGCTAGTGGCTGAGGTTCATCCAGGGGAACGGGAGACCTGGGGCAAGAAGGTGGATTTCCTCCTCTCCGTCATTGGCTATGCTGTGGACCTGGGCAACGTCTGGCGCTTTCCCTACATCTGTTACCAGAATGGAGGGGGTCAGTATCATGGGCTGCAAGCAGAGGCTGTGACCCAGGGGTGGTCTGTAGATCCTCTTGGGAGGCCAGAGGATAAATAATGTCTTTTCTGTCTTGTTTAACTGATAATGTATCTGGGAACATGGCTGCTTAGACTTTCAAGCTAGTCTAAAAGACAAATCTCCAGTTAAACCAAAACTTTAAGTCAGCATGTCTGTGGCTCTCTGGGTCACGAAGTTGAATGAAAGTTGAATGAAAGCCCTCCTGAACCTGACCTCACCAGATTTTCAGCATCATTAGTGCTTCATCTGTGGAAGAGTCCCCTTCTCATCCCTGCATTATACAAGCCCTGCTCTCCCCCACGTGAGACGTGGGGGAATGAACATCAGCACTATGCTGAGTTCTTTCACTCCTGCTGGCTGGTTCTGCTCAGAAGAGTCCAGAGAGCTGGACTCTTTCACTCCTGCTGGGCCTTTGGACCTGTGTGAGGGCAGAGAGGGCGTCAGCTCAAGTCCACAGTCTTAAGTTACAATCTGGGCGTGATCCGTAGCTGAACCCAGCCACGTTAATGCCAGCACCAAACCGTATATGTACATGCTTTATAGCTCCTACAAGAGTGTTAGATTCTTGAGGCCAGAGACGATTTCTTGTTCCTCCTACTATTCCTAATGCCTACAGAGCAGTTTATTTGCAGATTATCAAAAATAGTAGCTGATTGTAGGCATAGATATGGGAGCCCCAGAGAGCAGAGCAGGTAGGTATGGGGCCTCTGTTTTGACAATGGACTTGCTATCAGAATAGGAAAAGGACCAGAAGTGGGAGTCAAATCAGTTTGTTTCTTTCTTTCTTTATTTATAAAATTTATTTGGGTGCGCCAGATCTTAGTTGCAGCACGTGGGCTCCTTAGCTGCAGCTCATGGGCTCCTTAGTTGCGGCTCATGGGCTCCTTAGTTGTGGCATGCATGTGGGATCTAGTTCCTTGACCAGGCATCGAACCCACACCCCCTGTATTGGGAGCGTGGAGTCTTAACCACTGTGCCACCAGGGGAGTCCCAGTCATTTATTTTGACAGGAGCTCTGGCAACAGATTTAGGAGGGCAACTAAAATGAGGTTTGAGGGATAATTCGTTTGTGTCCCCTTCATTTCCTCTATGACCTGACACAGAGTTGCCTGGATTTGCTGCATCTTTTAAGGACCTGGGTCCATTCAGCTGCAAAGGCTATTCCGAGAGGGTGGGGGGTGGAGGGAGTGCCAGGAAGCCCAGCGTTCCTGGCCTGGGAGGGGCAGAAGTTGGAATCATCTTATCTCCAGTTTGGGAGGACCCGCCTGTAGCCTGAGCATTATATAAGGGGTTGGGTCACCGGTGATGTTTCCTCTACACTCATTCCCTACTGTAAAGCCAGTCAAGCAAACCCTTTGGACAAATGTCATAATGAGAACACAACATGGTTATTATTCTCAAGCCAGATTTACCCAGTGTGATTGTAAGTTAGATGAAACCTTTCTGAGTTGCACAGATTTCAGATTTCTAGGTTCAGAACACTTTATGGGAGGGAAAGTTATCAAGGAAATATCACAGCCGGCTCACCCTTTGGACTGAAACTCAGGCTGCAGGTGAGCAATCCCCAGCATGGCGTACCCAAATTCTGCCTCAGCCACAAGAGCCAGGAGACACCAGCATCTTCAGTGATGCAGCAGTTCTGCACTTTCTCATTCTGTAGCAAACTACCTGCAAATTTCAGCCACACCTGCAAATCTGGCTCAGGAGGGAGCATTCTGGCTCCGTGGAGTTATGGAAATATAACCAAACATCAGTAGTCAGGTGTCTGGAGCCAGGGATACAGATGAACAAAGATACTAATTCAGTGATGTGCAGTAGTCAACAGACTATTGCAGCTGTTGTACAGGTTGTCACAGGAGATCTGTTTCAAGGGTCCCAAATGCTGGTCCATGTACTGGTTGCATCAGAATCACCTGGAGAGCTTAAAAAAATCTTTGTTTTACTCATACCTGAAGCTTCTGCTTCAGGAGGTCAGGGTGGGTGTGTGTGTGTTTTGTTTTTTTTGGGGGTGTGTGTATGTGTGTGTTTTTAAGCTTACCAGTGATTATGATGAGTGGCTGGGTTTGGGAACCTCAGTTCTCCTCAACCCTGTCAGTTTCTAGTGGAAGAAAAAGAGGCCCAGAGAGAAGGGTCCTCCAGGCAGTTAGGAGTGGAACCGGTCCTAGGGCCTCTTCTGTTGACTCCCAGACCCAGTTTCCTTCCCACGTACTCTCTGCCTCCTCCCAAACCTCACTTCGCTGTGGAGCTCTGTCTACTACTGCTTCTGGCAAAGGATTAAGACCAGGGGAGCACCGTGTGAGGTCACTCAGGACAGGGTGGCTTCATGACTCTGGAGCATCAGATGGCTCTGTGTGTCCAGATCAGTTGGGCTGTCCTGGGTCAGATGTGGGCAGGGAGTGAAACTGCCTTTCATCTGCCTCAGGGGCATTCCTCCTCCCCTACACTATCATGGCCGTTTTCGGGGGGATCCCGCTGTTCTACATGGAGCTCGCGCTCGGCCAGTACCACCGAAATGGATGCATTTCGATATGGAGAAAAATCTGCCCGATTTTCAAAGGTAACGGAAAGGCATGGGTGGGTGAGTGGGTCCTCCTGGGAAGTGATGATTTCTATCAATAGGTCGAGCTGGAGACCTTCTTCTGGAATCAGTTAGGCCTTAGGTATCCCTGGGAGATAACTTGAGTAATTAAGGTTTTGACTGCTCAAGCAGTATGAGATTGTTAAAAGCAAAATAGAATAAATGGCAATTAAAAGTAAACTAAGTAGAAAAAGCGTTAATAGCACATGTACACATTTTCTAAAACATGTAACTCTGCAAATACAAATAAGGAATCTACCATATTGCCATTTTTCCACTGTCTCCTGGAGTCTTTGGAGGATGAAATGAATGGCAGCCCCACCTTTACCCCTCACCCGGGCTGCAGTGCCTCTGATGCCCTGCTTAACTGCTGGGCTGCCCTTGAAACTTGGCCTCCCTCACCCTCTCTCCCCCAGGGATTGGTTACGCCATCTGCATCATTGCCTTTTACATCGCCTCCTACTACAACACCATCATGGCCTGGGCGCTCTATTACCTCATCTCCTCTTTTGCGGCCCAGCTGCCCTGGACCAGCTGTAAGAACTCCTGGAACACTGGCAACTGCACCAACTACTTCTCCGAGGACAACGTCACCTGGACACTCCACTCAACATCCCCTGCAGAAGAATTTTATACGTAAGTGCATGTAAGTGGCGGGGGGGCCTGTTAGGGGCAGGCCACACCCCTGGGCTTTGGCTTCTTAGGAGGGAGGTGGGAGCCAGGGGCTCTTCACCTCTTGGCTGATGGATTTCTGAGAGATGAAGCTATCGGGGAGGGGGAGTAAATGTGAGTGAGGGAGTTGGGAGACTACCTTGAGTGCTCCACAGTCTGGGTCTCTGCGCCATCCCCCTCTTTTCTGTTGTGCCCAGGCCAGTCCCTACCTTCACATTCCAAAATTATTCCCCTGCATCAAAACTGCCCTTCTTCCTGGGCCCTCCTTGCAGCCAGCTGTCTTGGAAGCAAAGCCTCCCACTAGTTCAATAGTTTGAAACTACACAAAGAGTTTCTGGTTTCATGTATTCACTTAATACGTGGGATCTACCCTTTGGAAGAAGATGCCTGGAGTAGGTAGTTTTCTTTAATGCTGGAATTTCAGGCAATAGCAGCCCAAAGGGAGCTGTTTTGGGGTGGGGAAGGGACCCACCCCCACACATACAAATCCTCATGCATCCAGAAGCCAGTCATGTTAGTCATTCATTGGGTGCCAGCCTAGGAAGGAGACCTGGAAGTCTGCTTTTGGGCCGAGCGCTCTTCCCAGGGTTGGTCGGCTTGACTGCCCTGTTCTCTCCTTCAGGATGGGCAGAGCCCCTCCCAGCTCTTCCCGAGGCTTGCTGACCACTTGATCCTTGCAGTACTGTGTCCGTTTTTTCTCTTGGTGTCCTCCCAGAGGCATCACACGCAGTATGCTCAGGTAACTGTTCAGACCACGTCACTGGCCCTTCTTTCTCATTCACTCAGGCGCCACGTCCTGCAGATCCACCGGTCAAAGGGGCTCCAGGACCTGGGAGGCATCAGCTGGCAGCTTGCCCTCTGCATCATGCTGATCTTCACTATTATCTACTTTAGCATCTGGAAAGGTGTCAAAACATCTGGCAAGGTGAGGAGGACTCTGGCTGCTGATCCAGGCCTACCAAGGGGCCCTGGAGGATCTAACTCAGGATTCAGTGGCCTGGATAGCCAGAGACAAGGGGACATGTTTTCCTTTACACCAAACACATTCCATTATTTTCAGTCTCTCGTCACCAAATCGGTTAGAAAATTCTAGAAATGGGTCAATCCCAAGAACCATTATATGATTTTTTAAACATTCCTTTAACACGCTGGTAGTGTCATAACTAATAATAGTGGCAATAATTTACTGAAAACCCATCATGGACCATGTACAGTGTTTTGTATACACTGGCTACTTTGTCTCCTGCTAGGTATTTTCCCCATCTTACAGATAGGGAGTGGGTTTAGAGGTAGTTAGTACCAGCAAGCAGGGAATCAGATCCCTGTATGATTTTAAAGGCTGTGATCTTTCTGCCACCCTGCCTCCTAAAATTACAGAAAAAAAAGAGGTAGATCTTCTTTCTTGGAGGTTTTCAAGAATAAGACACCAGCATTCATGTGGTGATAACCTATGTTTCCTTCCTTACAGGTGGTTTGGATAACAGCCACCTTCCCTTACATCATCCTTTCGATCCTGCTGGTGAGGGGGGCCACCCTCCCCGGAGCCTGGAGGGGAGTTCTCTTCTATTTGAAACCCAACTGGCAGAAACTCCTGGAGACAGGGGTAAGATAATGAGGAAAGCAGTGTGCACCTGTCTGTCTTTTTACTAACTGAAGCTAGTCCTCTGAATAGGACAGTAGGAACAACTGAAATTTGGGTTCAGCGGCAAGTCTGCAGTGATGCTTTAAACCAGAAATACAAGCATGAAAAGTACAGTTGAGGGGCTTCCCTGGTGGCGCAGTGGTTGAGAGTCTGCCTGCCGATGCAGGGGACACGGGTTTGTGCCCCGGTCCGGGAAGATCCCACGTGCCGCGGAGCGGCTGGGCCCGTGAGCCATGGCCACTGAGCCTGTGCGTCCGGAGCCTGTGCTCCGCAACGGGAGAGGACACAACAGTGAGAAGCCTGCGTACCGCAAAAAAAAAAAAAAAAAAAAAAAAAAAGGTACACTTGAGGCCACTGCGTTGGTTTATGTCTAAGTGATAGGAAGAGAACTCACATTTGTTTGCACTTGGTATGTGGCCAGCCCTGGAAGGAGCCCTGAGAAGCCTGTTTTTTGCCTCTGCATGTAGCCACATGGAGGCATGAGGGCGCTGGCCCCGCTGGTGCTCAGCGATGGCCTGGGTCTCAGCCCTGGCCCTTACCTCTGCGGTGTTGCAGGTGTGGGTGGATGCGGCCGCCCAGATCTTCTTCTCTCTCGGTCCTGGCTTTGGGGTCCTGCTGGCTTTTGCGAGCTACAACAAATTCAACAACAACTGTTACCAGTGAGTATCTGGGGCCCCCCAAGCAAAGCTTGAAAGTGGAGTGAGTGTAAGTCATCTGGTCTGGAGGAAAGCAATCAAACCAATGGCCTCAAACCTGGCCACGCTAGGCCACGTTGACACTCTGACCCTCAGGGGTGCCACAGGTGCCTGACCACTCACCCAGACCATAGCCTCACTCAGGGGTTGAGAGAGGCTCCAGGCCACTTCTGTTTTGTGAGATTCTCTATATGTCAGGAAAAATTAAAAAATTCCAAAGCAGGTTTACAGAAATCACAGCATACATTCAATGTTTAGATTTGAGCTGTTAATGTATTTAACAACAAAAATTGTGATAATTTATTTATATATATATATACAAAAAGAATAATGATTGAACTATTTTGACCAACATAGAATGTCATAATTTTTATGTCAAAATCTCATTTCAGAAATGTGACAAAACAGGGACCATGGCGCCAATTATGATTTAAATATCACTCCTCATCTTTAGAGTTAACTTTGTCTTAATATTCTATCACAGATGGCAATGTCCAGCAGTCTGATTGTGCTATTCGTAAGATAATTATAGAATTAATTTTTTTTTTAAAAAGGAATTTACGTGCACCCTAAGCAATGTGGCCTTGCATTGGGACACCAGCCTAAAGTTGTATGATGAAGTCCTCTTTTATTTTTTAATTTTTTTTTATTTTTTTATTTTTTATTTTTATTTTTTTAATTTTTTTTTTAACATCTTTATTGGGGTATAATTGCTTTACAATGGTGTGTTAGTTTCTGCTTTATAACAGAGTGAGTCAGTTATACATATATATATGTTCCCATATCTCTTCCCTCTTTGTCTCCCTCCCTCCCACCCTCCCTATCCCACCCCTCCAGACAGCCACAAAGAACCGAGCCGGTTTCCCTGTGCCATGCGGCTGCTTCCCACTGGCTATCTACCTTACGTTTGTTAGTATATATATGTCCATGTCTCTCTCTCGCCCTAACACACCTCACCCTTCCCCCTCCCCATATCCTCAAGTCTGTTCTCCAGTAGGTCTCTGTCTTTATTCCTGTTTTACCCCTAGGTTCTTCATAACATTTTTTTTTCTTAAAAAAAAATGGAATTTATGAAGTCCTCTTTTAAAAGTGTCAGGATATCTTTGTGGCACTCTTATAACCTCATTTACACGTAATGTCAAAAGTCTAAATCTGAGGTCTTCACAAATGTAAGGCCAAGGCCTCCTCCTGGCCCCGGCTGCAACTCAGGCCCTGCTTCAGAGCAAGCCTTGTTTGAAATCCAGAGGTCTGTGCTGTGCTGGTTTACAACAAAATCATCTCTTAAAACCACCCCTGACTGCTGTTCTCCCCACGCCATGCGTGGTGATAACAGCAGCTTGTGCTTCAAGGTAATGCAACCCGTCTGAGAGGCTGGGCCCTGGGAGGAGGGGAGGAGACACCTGGACAGGCTTGAAGTCCCTGTGAGCTCAGCCCACTCACCCTTGTCACAGCTGGAGACAGATGCCCCTTAGATTCCTGACTTGGAAATGTCTCAGGCCCCTTGGGTTTTCTGCTCCAGAGACGCCTTGGTGACCAGTGTGGTGAATTGCATGACGAGCTTCGTTTCAGGATTTGTCATCTTCACAGTGCTGGGGTATATGGCTGAGATGAGGAACGAAGATGTGTCTGAGGTGGCCAAAGATGCAGGTAGGACCTCGGGTTTTGTTTGGGCTCCTGGCTCCCACTGAATTGCTTTGCTGCTCTTTGGATCTTTACAAATATCTAACTTTTGCATTATTTCTAAATGTTCCTCTTAAAATTCTCAAAGGTTTTAGAGAAACTTACTGCCTTGGAAATTTCAGCCCTTTCCATGGTGGTAATGGGGCAGCTCCCTTGGCACCCAGTACTGGGGCCTTGAATACATTGTGGGCTTGGAAATATGACTTGGATGATGGCTTTTAAAAGTAGTGGGTTTGGGGGACTTCCCTGGTGGTCCAGTGGTTAAGACTCCGTGCTCCCAATGCAGGGGGCCCAGGTTCGATCCCTGGTCAGGGAACTAGATCCCGCATGCATGCTGCAACTAAAAGATCCCCCATGCCGCAACGAAGATCCCTCGTGCCGCAACTAAAACCCAGCGGCAGCCACATAAGACAAACAAACAAACTAAAAAACAGTGTGGCTTCCCTTGTGGCTCAGTAGTTAAGAATCCACCTGCCAACACAGGGGACATGGGTTCGAGCCCTAGTCCAGGAAGCTTCCACATTGCCGCGGAGCAACTAAGTCCATGTGCCACAGCTAATGAGCCTGTGCTCTAGAGCCTGCGAGCTACAAGTACTGAAGCCCACTGGCCTAGAGCCTGTGCTCTGCAGCAAGAGAAGCCACTGCAATGAGAAGCCCGTGCACCGCAAGGAAGAGTAGCCCCTGCTGGTCACAACTAGAGAAAGCCCGCGCGCAGCAATGAAGACCCAACACAGCCTAAACAAATAAATAGACAGATAGATAGCAATTCCTATTTAAAAAAAACAAAAAAAGTGTGTTTGGGTCCTGTGATGGGTCCAAGTCTAGTAAGCAAATTATTACTAATCCTTTGCAGAAAAATTAAATGTAGATGTGTAGCACTCTACTGTACTGTAAGGTTTCATGGAAAAAGAGTGACAGACGTTGAAGAAGAGGTTATGGGATCTTGTGGATGGAGTCCCAGGGCTTTCTTGCAAACATACATCTGTCTTTAGCCCGACACGGTGCTCTGATGAACTCCATGCCCCAAACTAAGGGCAGCCTATTTAGTCCATGAGAGGTTGAAGACATGTCCCTCATACTATCAAAAAGGACTTCAAAATAGCTGGAGGTCTTTATTCCGAGGCCGCTAGATTCTTCTGAAATCAATAAAACATTTCCTACTGTTCTGGAGCTAAAGAGAGAGCTAAACGCTGTGAGACTTCAGAGAGATATCAATCCTCATGTTGAAAAAAAAAAAAAGCACTGAATTATTATATAGCGGACACTCTAATTCATGTGCTCAGCTTTGCTAGTCTTGAGGTCTCAGGTTTGTTTCATTTCTCCATGTTGGTTGAGGGCGCATACTCTTCAAGGTGGATACTATTCCCTTCCTGCCTCCCAGGATGTCCAGGTAGGATGGTGTGGGGTGTGAGGAAGCATTTGGTACATGTCCAACCCTGATTCACATGTAAGGTTTTGTGACAGGAATTGTAATTGTTGGTGTGGCCAAGTTTCTCCTGAGACATCTTTGCAGGGCAGGTCTCAGCGACCACCTCCTCCTCTTTCCTGCTCTGTCTCAGGCCCCAGCCTGCTCTTCATCACATATGCGGAAGCCATAGCCAACATGCCGGCATCCACGTTCTTTGCCATCATCTTCTTCCTGATGTTAATCACACTGGGCTTGGACAGCACAGTAAGTGAATGGGGAGGGAAATCCGGCTCTCGGGAGGAGGGAGAAGGGGGGGAGGAGGAGGGGAAGGAAGCTGTACCCATTCCTTCCCATCCTGGCCACCCCAGGCCATGTTGGCTGCTCCCTCTTGGTGCTCCCTCAGCCCCTGTTCACTTGGGTGCTTACTGCCCTCTAGTACATTAGAGGCATTAATGGGATAATGAGGGTAAAGTGCCAGGCATAGGCCAAGAGCTCAGCATATGTGAACTGTTGTGCACTGTCCCTTGACCAGACTGGCAGCACCTGAAGGCCAGGGCAAGGTCACACTTGTGTCTCAGTGCCCTGCAGCCCAGCATTCATATCATTAGTGTGGAATGAGTCTCAGCTTTCAGTTGGCATTTCTGATGCAACCAAAGTCTCCCCGAGATACCTCATGTAGAGAAGTCCTGTCCATGTGCTATACTTTCTTTCCTTGATGTCCTTAGGAATGGGCTCTAAATGACGAGGTAAAACGGAGATATGTTTCCAGTGAGGGCCGGTGAGTAGGGGGAACTGGTCACGATCAGCTTGACAGGTCACTTGGCAATTTAACCCCTCCCTTCTGTTCACTGTCCTAGAGGTAGCAGATTTGTCCCAAAGTCTACTCAGTGACCATTTGTGTGCCCCTCTCAGTTTGCAGGCTTGGAGGGGGTGATCACAGCCGTGCTGGATGAGTTTCCACACATCTGGTCCAAGCGCCGGGAGTGGTTTGTGCTCAGCGTGGTCATTACCTGCTTCTTTGGATCCCTGATCACCCTGACTTTTGTGAGTACCAAAACCCTAAACTTAGAGTCAACCTCCCCTAGGACAATAGAATGTTACAAGAAGCTGTTCCTTTCCGTCCCACATGGTGCCCTGGCTTTGGGGCCAAAGGGAGAGAAGTTGTCACCACTGTTAAAAAGTTAGTCATCAAGGAGAGGAAGAAAAGTTGTTTCTAGTGGCATCTGTCTGAAGAATCTGGGCTTGGTATCTGGAGGCTCAGCATTTTACAGCAAATCCAACTAGATTTAAGGCTTGACAGACTATCTGGAGGAAAACTAAGATGTGTCTTTTCAGTCTATTTCCAGTCCTTAGGGCTGCTTTCATAGGAATAGTGCCCTCATGTCCTGATATGCTGAACATCTGGAGGCTGGCATCTCATGTTTGTAATGTCACTTCGTCTCCTCCAGAGAATTTGTAATGGTAAAGAAGTTAGACCTTCTCTAGTGATTTGATTTTTTTTTTTTTGGGGGGGGGCGGGTAGCTGAGGCAAATACTGTCAAACTGTAAATCAGGCATCAGATAGTACCCATAGGCATCGTAGGCGTGTATCCTTCTGACTCAAGGCAGATTTTGTAGATAAACATCTTCAAGCCATGACCCCAATGGCTCTGGAGCTTCAGCAGGGTTGTGGGGCCCTGAGTAGGACCCAAGGGATTTGTGAGTTAGGACAGAGGCAAAACCATGACCACTGGGCCCGGTGTGTCTGGTATTGTAGATTTTCTGGGGTAGAATACACAGTAGGTATTCAGTAAATTGAAGAAAGTTGAAAACAGATCCAGAGGCGCTTTTGAGTTTGTCTTAAAGCTTAGTGGGGAGTGGAAACAAGACGAGAGTGACCTGTAGGGCGGGAAGAGGTGTCTGATGGGATGAAATCTTGCCCATCTGCCAAGGCCAGTCCAAGAAGTAGGCTCTGGGACACTTATGTTAGACCCAAGGAGAGAATTTTCCAGAATTATCCTAAGTTAAGAAGTTCTTTATGCTCCTGTCATAAAGAGGAGGCAGTGCCTCAGAGGGCCTTTAACCGGGTTTGTGGTCTCATTTCCAGGGAGGGGCCTACGTGGTGAAGCTGCTGGAGGAGTTTGCCACGGGACCCGCAGTGCTCACTGTTGCCCTGATAGAAGCAATTGCTGTGTATTGGTTCTATGGTAAGATGCTCCCTTCCACTAGCCACGATCCTTCCTACACCAGCCCACATAGCCACCAGAATACAGAAGGGCTGATGTCGTCAGGGAAAAGCAGGCCAGTGTACAAGACATCACCTGCTGCATCCTTTCTTCAAAAACAGGTCATCACTTCCTCCACACTCTGTGCAACAGATTGCCTGCACTCCTGGGAGGATGGTTTTTTCTTCTAAGTTTATATGTTTACCCAGTGGAGACAGGGCTGAAGTGGTTCCCTATAGCTCATCCACAGTGGTTGCTTAAGATCCCGACAGGCTCTAAGAATTGGACAGACAACAAAGAACTAGTGCACAGTGAATGCATTTGCAGAGCGTACAATATTCTGCTGTTACATAGAGTGGCCCCACTTTAAATTTCACAAACGAGCACTCCCTCCAGAGCCCTGAGACAGAGTTTAGGAGCTTATCTTCTAGGGAAGAGGCAAGAATGTTCCTGTTTGGATTATCTGTCTTGGTAAAGCCTCCAATTTACACCGCCCCCCCCCGCCCCCCTCACCCAATCGATCGTGGGATGGAATCTGATAAGGGTGAAACCACCAGGAGCGGAGAGAGAGCTGACATAGGTTCATGGGCAGGGATCCCAAGAGCCCCTGGGCAAGGATGAGGAGGGCACAGGCAATGGAAATGAAGAAAACCAGGTTCAGAGATGCCTTTCTTCATCTTTAAAATCAAGACGTGATGATTTCATTCTGAAAATATTTTCCTAGTTTCTATGATAGCAGAACAGCTTTAGCATGTGTGTCATTACACATAATATAAAGAAGGGGGGCCCACATTTTGAGTTGTTTTTTTAAAGAAGTCCTCCCCACCTCCTCAGCACTTCGGAGGACCAAGTGCAAGGTGTGTAATGTTACAGACCCGCTGGGTACTTTCAGAGAAGCAACTGCAGAGCACCCTTCCTTCCCCTTGTCGATTTCTCCCCCAGTCCTCACTTCCATGCCAGTTACTTTGTAGAGAAGAACCTTGATCTTGATCTGACATATGAATGCGCAACAGTGTGGTTAAAATTTTCTCTTGAAAGTTTCCAGCATATGGTCAGAGTCAGTCTCTGTCAAGTGGTTTCACCATTTTTAAACAAAATTCCACTTCCTTTTCTACAGTAACGATAAAATAAGATATATGCTGCAATCCTAGAAAGGCAGTGTGGGCACCAGGAGGGGGCTTTAGGTCCCTCCCCAGATGTCCACCAATCCTCCCACTCTGTGTAGAAAGAGCTTTGCTTACTGTAACGTGCATTTTTGTGACAAGTCCCCCATCTCACTTTCAGACCAGATTGGTGCCCCCAAGCCCCTCCTTTAGAGAAACTCCAGAGCTTTTACTCTCTCTGAGAGTCAAGGGATAGGAGGACAGTCTAGTTCCTCTCTCAGTCAATCTCGTTCTCTTTTGGATGATTTTAGGCATCAATCAGTTCTGCAGTGATGTGAAGGAAATGCTTGGCTTCAGCCCTGGATGGTTTTGGAGGATCTGCTGGGTAGCCATCAGCCCTCTGTTTCTCCTGGTGAGTTGTCATTTCCCTTCTCCTTCTTGCCCTGGAGAAAGATTCACCCTCAAACACTCATTAAAAAATAAATTTTATCGAAGTGTAACATATATATACAGAAAAGTGCGCAAATCACAAGTGTACATCTCAGTGAAATTCTATAAATTGAGCACCGTTTTGTAGCTAAAACCATACCAAGAAACACATGACCAGTACTTCACAAGCTCCTCGTGTCCCCTCCCAGTCACTGTGCCCCCCATAGTTAACCACTCTTCCCGTTTCTGTCACATTATTTCATCCCTCCGCTGCTCTGTGATACTGACACATAACGTTCATTGGTCAGTGAGTGCCAGGCCAGACTTTCCACTAAACTTAACACCCATTTGCTGTTTCAACTCTCACAACAATTCTATGACGTAGAGTTCTAGTTCCCCATTTCACAGTTTCAGAGAAATTGAGGTTTAGGGTCTAAGGTCACATGAAAGAACTGTTCAAGGCCGGGAAAGTATTTACTGTGCTGCTCACGAAGGACCTAACAAGGGTCCTAGTAATTCTGTATTCATTTTCTTAAAGACCACCCGCACCCCCCACCAGGTTTCTCAGGTGTAGATCTGAGTCAAAAGTAGAATCCATTCATTGTAGAATGAGAGAGCTCAGCTCCAAGGGTTGCCTGTTTGCCAGGACGTGTTCAGTGCTGACTCCAGCCTTGCTGCGTGTGCCCCTACGTCCCTCCTGGTACCCGTCTGAAGATGTTTGCCCAAAGATGGATAAGCACCATGCTAACATCCCAAGTGCACTCTGAGATAGCCTGGGGTAAAGTGACTCCGTGCACATCAGCAGGGATTACTCTTAGTTCTTTCATTTATCTGTAACTTGATTTGGGGTGGGGGGAGCTTTTTGATCTTTTAGAGCCAGAGACTGTTCCTTCAGTCCAGCTCCAGCTTATTAGGATATCTGGACCATCCATTTCATCTTAGGACATGTATGCATCTGTGCCTTCCCCTTCTTTCAAAACAACCCTTTTTGCATTCTATTTTGACTTTCTCGGGGTAGTTCTTTTTTTTTTTTTTTTTTTTTGCTGTACGCGGGCCTCTCACTGTTGTGGCCTCTCCCGTTGTGGAGCACAGGCTCTGGACACGCAGGCTCAGCGGCCATGGCTCACGGGCCCAGCTGCTCTGCAGCATGTGGGATATTCCCGGACCGGGGCACAAACCTGCGTCTCCTGCATCGGCAGGCGGACTCTCAACCACTGCGCCACCAGGGAAGCCCTCGGGGTGGTTCTTTATTTTTTGTGTTTTTCTGTACCTGCACATCTCAATGTTAACTTATAAGATGGACAGCGTGCTCATTCTTGCCTCCATAATGCTGCACGTGTCTCTCTCTACCCCAGAATCCCTCCTTGACTTCCATTCCCCTGGACCCTGGAGGTTTCCAGAACCAAAGCCAACCTTTGCCCCAAGCAGCAGATACTCTCAGGGCCTAGGGCCTCTGGTGTGTGCTGTGGGCTCCAGTGTTCCTCTAGATCTTGGCCTGGTAGTTCCTTATTACCTTGTCAGCTTGCTGTTGCTTTTTGGTAAATTTAAAACAATGTATTTTTAAATCCAGAAATTTTAGTTGTTTTCAGTGAGAGGGTTGGTCTGGATCACTAGTCTGCCATTAGTAGAAGTAGAACTCCTGACATAAATGGGTTATTATATTGTTACCAGTGCTTCTTGATAATCTACTTAAATCTTTTCATTTGTTTTTCAAAGGAAGGAGAGATATTGGATTAGTTCCCTGAGGGAAGAAGCCATGTTTGTTTGTTTGTCTACTTTCATATTCTCCACACAGGGAGGGAATGATGTTCAGGGCTGAGACTCAGGAAAGGCAAGCAAGGCACTCATCCTGGACGTAAAATTTCCGGGGGTGCCAAAAAACTCAGTAGTCAAGATAAATACTACTTTTTTTTTTTTGGCTGCATCGTGCAGCTTGTGGGATCTTAGTTCCCCAACCAGGGATCGAACTCTTGCTCCCTGCAGTGGAAGCATGGAGTCTTAACCACTGGACTACCAGGGAAGTCCCGATAAATACTATTTTTATGCAGTAGTTTTTAAAAATCAAAATTAATGCAAAAAAAAAATCCCTGATGAACAAAATACCAGCGTTTTAAATAAATACAGGATCCAACCATATACTTGCATGTCTCACTTCACTCACCTTGCCCTAATCTGGCCCTGTCAGAGCTTGTCTTTTTAAAGTATTGCACTAGAATATTATATTATTATTATTTCTTGATTACTGAAATTTTGACATCCTCTTAAATGCTGTGCCCAAGGTGAATGTCTCATATGCCTTACCCTAGTCCTGGCCCCAGGCTTTTAGTATTTTCATTTCTGTGGTTGTCTGGCAAACTGGGTGAACTCTTGGTGTACAGCCAATGAGTTTCCGTGCCCAACAAAACCCAGGTACAGATCTGGGTTCAGGGACATGACATAATTCCTGTGATGTTCACTCTACTCACTTCCTCTAAAGGTAAGTGCTCCAGGGCCCAATTAAGAGGAGGCAAATCTGTCTTCCACTTCTAGGTTTACTTAACAGATCCCCTGCTTTGGGCTTTTTAAAGCTGCTTTAGGTAAACAACGAGTAGCTTACTAAAAATATTCTTTTTCACTGAAGCCAAGTTATAAAAAAGAAAAATATCGTATATGAGCAAGAGGAGGTGGGGATGTGCAAGCGGGTGTCTGGAGCAATACTTAGTGGCCACAGTGAGAGCTTGAGGCCTCCCTGAACTGCATTAGGTTTCACACACCTGACATCAAGATGAGACGAGTTACAGCAGGGATGGCTCCTAACCAGACCCCACCTTTCCCTGTTTCAAAATTACCTTTCTTAGTAGCCGGGTATGGGGCTGAGGAGAGTCTGTCCAGAGAAAGGTTTGCGATTGGCTGGGCTCCTGTTTTGAAAGCTTCCTCCTGGACTTAGGATAACACTGTTCTGAAGATGAATGTGTGTTTAACAATTTCCCATTTTATTATCTGAAGAGAAAGAAAAAAAAAAGATATAAATAGATGTTTAAGCCCACAAATAATTTACATTACTGTCTTCTTTATGACTATGAAATAATAAGATAAAATTAAATCAAGAGCAATAACGATTTCAGCACAGTGGTTACTAGGCAAAAACTGTATTTACGCTGTCTCTGGAAACCAAACTGAAATAAGAAAACTCATAAACCGAGTATTGGGAGCACACCATGGAATTTTTCTTGGTTGGAATCTTCACTGAATTTTCACGTCAAAAGTGTATTGAGCTGCTTTTTCCTTCCATTATTCCTTTCATTACAAGGGCCTGTGGCAGGCAGTCATTTATTGTCAAGATGCCTCACGGCAGAGCCATCCTTGTTGAAATCCCAGTTCTTAGCCTGGGGTTAATGCAAGGAAAGCGGGGAGAAGGAGAACTTACCTAGGAGCCAGGTCTTGAGAACCTTATTATGTCTCCTGGACCTAAATGCCTTCCATCTTACCAAAAACAATCACCGCAGAGAAACGCAGGAGGAAATGAAAACAAAGCAGAAAGAAATATGAAGCCCTAGGACTGGCAGGAGCTATGGAGAGGTCTCCCAGTTTATTCCTCCACTGTCTCAAATTGGGGACTGAACCACTCCTGATGGATGCCGGTCTCTTCTTTGCCCTGAAAGGGGCGCTGTAACCCCCTAAATAACCTTCTGAGGCCTTGGCATCCCCACTGTAGGGGCTGAGGTGGGGGTAGGGAGGAAAATCAAGATAAGCCCCTAACGGCTTCATTGTTGGCAGCTGAGGCACAGAAATTAGTGACTTCTTTGTGTCAGTTCAATCTAGGATATATCACACTTAGGCAATTTCCTGAAAGTGTCTTAGCTTTAGTGTTCAGTGTTTGTGGTATATGGACTGTCTCTGTGTGGATATCGTGAAAAATTTTGAATGTTTCTTGGAATTTCTGTTTTAGTTCATCATTTGCAGTTTTTTGATGAGCCCACCACAGCTACGACTTTTTCAGTATAATTATCCTCAGTGGAGCATCATCCTGGGTTACTGCATAGGAACCTCATCTTTCATCTGCGTCCCGATGTATATAACTTATCGGCTGATCATCACTCCAGGGACACTTAAGGAGGTATGTGCTAGTGTGTGTGTGTGTGTGTGTGTGTGTGTGTGTGTTCAGATTGGTAACTGTTTGGGGAGAAAACGGTACTCTTCTTATGCTCTATTCAAAGGATGTTAAGTCCACCACAAGAATTCACCAGGAGGCTCTTAGTCTTATATAATTATATAACTATACCATCGTGTAGCCTCTAATAGCTGCCACTGTTACCTTAAGGCATCTCCCATAAGCCTCAAGTACAAAGGTGAAAGAGTGAGCTGGCCATTTGGATGCACCATAACACACAACTTGGTGTATAGCATTCTAAACATAATCAGAAAACTGCTTTGCCTCCTGCATGGCATTGGGCATGCACATCAGATCAGTGGTGTCTGGAGCAATAACACAAATTTGATTTAAGTGGATTTAAATTAAATCCACTTGGTTTAAGTGGAGATTATGATGGAAATTGTCTGTGGTCATTTTCTAACAGCAGTGTAACAAGGGCTTTTTAAAAAATATTTATTTATTTATTTGGCTGTGTTGGATCTTGGTTGCTGCGTGGGGGCTCTCTCTATTTGCAGTGAGTGAGGGCTACTCTTCGTTGTGGCGCATGGGCCTCCCACTGCGTTGGCCTCTCTTGTTGCAGAGCACAGGCTCTAGAGCACAGGCTTCAGTAGTTGTGGCTTGCGGCCTCCAGAGCGCAGGCTCAGTAGTTGTGGCGCACAGGCTTAGTTGCTCCACGGCATGTGGGATCTTCCCGGACCAGGGCTCGAACCCATGTCCCCTGCATTGGCAGGCGGATTCTTAACCACCGCGCCACCAGGGAAGCCCTACAAAGGCTGTTTTGAAAATCACTAAATAAGGGTGTTGCAACAATATCGTAGTTTTAGTTCAAGTCACTGGAATGAAAAAAAAAAGTTGCCATTTTAGCAAGATTCATGTCAGTAAATGAATAATGTGCTGTAAAAATTTCAATAACAGAATCTTACAATTTGTATAAGATTGTATATATTTTAAAGCATCTTCATGTAGACTATTTTATTTTGTTATCAAAATACTTTGTGAGGTGAATGGGCAGGTATCATTAGCAGACAAAGATACTGAGTCTGGGAATAATGCCGCTCATAGTTTCCTTATTTCAGTGACTTGTCCAGGGATACACAGTACAGGGAGGCTCAGAATCCAAGTCTGGTTTTTGGCCCAGTGCTCTTTCATGTTTAGGTGCAGCTTCTCTTTTGTGTCCTCAGGGTACTAATAGTTTGCTAATGTAGAAATTGGCTCTAGAGGTTAGGGAGAGATGAGTTGCCACTTTTCATCCTGTACTGACAAGAGTTAGTTAGTGTTCAGGCTGCCAGGATTCCCAGCAATGTTACCAGAATTGAAAATGCTTGGGTCGTTACTTGTTTGGTTGTGTTTCTTGCCACAGTAAGGTTACTGTGGCAGTAGAGCCTGAAGGAGCGGCCACTTAGAAGTCTGTGGGTGGGTGCTTGTGTAGGAGACAAGCTCAAAGGTGAAGAGTGGTATTTGGGGGAGAGCTAGAGGGACCTGTGCTCTATAATGACCTGAGAGCACAGGTGGGCTAGTCTATGGGCTCTTAGAAGCAAAACTTAAATATCAGATCATCATACTCATCTTCCTAAAACATTTCACAAGAAACACGAAGAGAACGTGAGGCCATTAAACATCATCTCTTTTCTAAGAACTGAGATTGCTTCTTTTTCCAAACAGAAAAACTGAATTCTAGGTGAACAGAATTAGTAACTCTGCCAGGAGTTACTAATTTCCTACACCCAAAACAGTCCTATCACAACCTCATTCCTCCCAAAGGGGCTTGGACTCTGGTGTTGCCTGAAATACACACTCAGACAAGAGTCATTGTACTTGCTCCTTCAGGATGTCCTTTATGGCAGTCATGATAGTCCACTGGCCCAGCTGACTCAAACCCAGAGGCCAAGGTCAGGGGTGGGAACTCTAGTTAGGTTAATAAATTTCAGTATTCTTTGGTCACAGACTGTACCTCAAGTCTTGATCATCTTTCTTGCAAATTCCCCGTTAGCCACAAGGAAATGCCACCCAACGGTGTATAATTAACAGAGCTCAGATCCATTAGTAGTAGAGGTAAGGCCGATTGCAGGGCCATGTTTGTCATAGGCCACCAGATGAGAAACAGTGGGTTACCAGGAAGCATCATGATATAGCTGGTCAAGGGGGCCTATGAGGGAAAAGACTATGGCAAGTCATTTACCTGCTCTGGGCCTTAGTTTCTTCATCTTTAAAATGTGCTCATTGAATTGGATTAACATTTCCAAAGTATGTTTTAAGGAGTAGTAGTAGTTCCATGGGATATCAATAAGTGTTACTGCTGGGGGAAAAAGGTTACATGGTCAAATAATTTTGGAGAATGCTGGATTAAGGTAAGGTAAATAGGTCTCTTTACTACAGGATTTCTCAAAAGCCTTAACATGCCTATGTGCATGCTTAATTTCTGATGAGAATAAAGCATGCCATGTTTTTGCCAAGCACCCCAAGGGACTAAAATTTTTTGTGAATACCAGACTTGATGGTCTTTAACATTCTATCTATGAGGGAGGGAGAACTCATATAAAATTTTGGTATGGTTAAAAAGAAAAAAAAAAGTAAATTTCTTAACTCTTCTGGGCCCTAGCCATATACAAGGCTACAGTTTGTGGAGTGAGCCACCACTTACTCACCTGTAATTTGGAGGCTATCATGTGCATCTGCAACCTGGAAGTCTCAAGTTTGGAGTCATCAACTGGATTAGGTCACTGTCCCCAGAAGCCCCTAGTGACCTGCACAAAGACACTGGGAAGATGGTCCCTAATAAGTAAGCATTCATGAAGATGGCAACAGTGATCCATTGCTTAGATGATTGCCTTGCAGAAGGCCAGGGACTGGCAAATTTTGAGAGCAGTAGTAATGTGGCAACTGGAATGCTGCTGAAATATGGAAGACGAAGGTGGACCTGGCATTTGGGGAGATCAGCAGCCAGAAGGGCAGGAGAATGGGCAGGTGGGGGCTAGGGTACAAAAGCCAAATGTTCTACTTCACAGTGTTGTTTACTGTGGGTCTTGCCTCTACCCTAGTTAGAGTGATGTGTCCAGTTCCCAGTTAGCAAGGCCTAATTCTCCTTAATCAGTTATGGGTTACAGATTCATCTATGGGAAAGGATGGTTTGTGAAATTTTGCTTTCTATGACTTGACATGTCCAGGTAGTTGATGAGCACTGCAGCAACTCGTTTTTAAATGGATTTCCAGTGTGAGATTTTAGTTCTTGAATATTAAGGTCATTAGGAACACAACATGTACAATTTTGTGAACTTCATTACCTATGAGAATGGGAACTTTTAAAATTCCATAGGCCCTGCTCCCTAAAGAAGAATCAACCCCCAGAACCAGGAAATAAAAAAAAACTGAAGGGGACTGCATACTTTTTCAATCCAAAATAAAAAGGACAAGTAGCAGAGCTTCACCTAAAATCAATAAATCAAAATATGCTTTCAGATCCAATTTTGCCTTGCTCACCATATGTACAGACTTTTGGCATCAAAGATTTTACTGAGCAACTTACTTAACAAAGATTTTCTTCTAAGCTTCTGCAGTGCTCCGCACATCCCTGAGCTGCTTCGTGTCACTGATGCTAAGTTTTGCAAGGCAGGCTGTATATTTCATACCCAAGCCCGAGCATATTTCAGATCTGTCCCAAAGCTTCTGTGTACCTCAGCTGTTTCTAAAGTAAAAATTCTCAGCCTTTCCCCTGTGCTAAGTACTACATCAACATGAGATTGCTTTAGGAATGATGATTTAAATGGGCACATCTTTTAAAATTTAATTATGTAATAATTTGCACCCTTGTATGAACTAACCAGTGCTCCTTTACAGGTAAATTCATTAAATCAGTAACATCCTGGCTGTTACAGTGGCTGATGGCACTGTGCACTGTGCCTGTAGCATGTATGCAGGCAAAAGGAGCATGGTTGAGGTGGGGGGAGCCAGAATCCAGAGCTCACTCTGCTTCCCAAGCCCTGTGGGCCACATGAAGCCTCCTCTGACAAGATGCCCTTTCCCAGGCCATCAAAGGCATGTTACAGGCCAGCAGAGGTTCTATTGAAGGTCCATCCTTTCTCCCATTAGAGTTATGATGACTTTCTTAATTAGTTTACAGATGCTTATATAGTTCCTGAATATGCCATTTTTACCCATATTTGAGAACAGATAAGTTGCGGATTCCTTTCTTAAGGAAAGTCAGTAAGACTATTCCAATTTACTATTAAATGCCATTTAAATGCTACTTAACCTTTGTTTTAATATTGAAAAAAATTTTAAACTGTTAAATTATAAGAATATTTATAACATTATGTTTTCTTCCTAACAGCGTCTTATTAAAGGTATCACTCCAGAAACACCGACAGAAATTCCCTGTGGGGATATCCTCTTGAACGCTGTGTAAAAAGGAAGGAAAATGGCTTCCCAACAAGCTCTTCCTCCAGTTCTGACAAGTCACACCTCGCCTTCCCCCTCTAACTCAATGAGTTGCCAGCTAAGCCTGCCGATGGAAGGGCCTTCTTCATAGAGACACAGTCCCAAAAGACTATGGTGCCTAGACTCTTATGGCCTCCAGCCACTTCTTTCTGTGAAATCTCCCAGACATGTTATCATGTTAGACTCTGTGATGCAGCTGAAGTGGACTGCTTTGGATGTGGGAGGGTGTGTATGGAGGTGATGAAAACCACAGTATCGTCAGTTAGGATTAGGTTTAGGATCAAGTCTGTGAAAGTCTCCTGTATCATTCCTTGTTACGATCATCAGTATCTAACATCGTTTGCTTCCAAAGGTTTCACTGTTCATGAATGCATAAACCATTTAGAAGAAAACAGGGATACTGTCTTGCTAGCCATATATTTCCTGAGTAGCATAGAATTCTACTATAGCTGGAATCTACTAGAACCCTGTAACCTGTGTACTGCTCTGGAGTCAGGAGAGGAAGATGTAAGAAGCTAAGCTGAAAAATAATTTGTACATGTGAGCGTGTGTGTCTGTGTATATACTGTTGTTCCAGCGTATCCCTATCTCCATTCTAATACTTTGGGCCCGTTACAAACTATATGAATTTCCTCTAGTTTTTCTTACATTAACAAATTCCACCTACTGAAATCTGTATGTATGTTATTATTTGAAGGGTATAATTACTACAGCACGCTCTGCCACCCGCTCCTTTTCCAATGAACTTTAGCCCATACATCTTCCTTTATGGGCCATGCTTTAGTATTTCTTGCACTTCACTGCCATCTTCCTGTCTCTCTGCTAAACATTCAGGATAATGTTCCACAGGCAAATCTGGCCTATTTCATTAGTCACTGTGGCTTGGCTATGAACTACTTTGAAGATGAATATTGATAAATGCATTTTCAGTGTTAACTATCTGGTTTAAGCTCTGTCTACTTCAAATGACTGAGTTTAACCATTAAGGTTACTTGGCTTTGTGAAGAGTGGATAAATCAAATTTTCACAGGGTGTAGAGATCTGGTACCCTGACCTAAACCAAGGTCATCCTCAACCCAAAAGTAATTGGAGAGTCTGGGTTAGCCTTAAATGAACCTCCTCCCAACCCCTTGACCCTTCCTGGTTGGCTACCAGGATAGTGAGTCCTCCAGATAATTTTCAAGACTGAGTGTAAGTAAGCCTGATTGGAAAAGGGTCAGTTAAGTGAATAACCTTACATGCCACATAAAACCCTTAATACAGATCAAGTATATTTGAACTTCAGTGGCTTGGGACTCTCAGATGCATAGGTAGAGAAGCAAATTTTACCTTGTAGTGTGAGACTTCCTTACCAAAATCTTAAAGGGAGTAAAGCCTAGTCAATGATAAAAGGACTCAATGATCTGGCCCCATATCACATCAGTCCTCTATATAAATCTAACTTAATCCTAACCTTATAGAAAGAAGATCTATATAGCAGAAGCCTAGTTTAATCCAGTTATAGAGCTTCCTCCCTTGGCTTCCTTTCCCCAACAATATTCCCTGGCCATCTTCCTGTATTCCCCCTACATTCTTCTATTGCTTATTCTTTGCTTTTCCTAGCAGAATATCTTCCTCATAGATGTTAGCTGCTGAGAAGTTTCCCAAAATATTAGAGGAAAACAGAGGGGGATTTAAAAATGACTCTTAACTGACCTACCTTCATTATCTTCACTCTTTCATTCCTTCCTGCTACCTCATGTCCATTCTCTTTGCTTTCTAGCATGCTGAAAGGAGAGAGGTTATATAAGTGGCAGCGTATTCAGTGGTAAACAGCTTTGCAAATTTAAGAACTTGCTTTATAAATATATTCAGATATGTATTCTCCCCATCCCACACACACTTATGCATTTTCCAAAGATACCATTTTTTAAAAAGCACTTTTTCAAACAAAGTTTTGTCAAGCCAGGTGTTATACAGGTGTTTTGAAAAGTTTTCAAATGTCACTATACAGAAAAAATCCAAAATCTCTCCTCAGCGTAGTTTGCATTTACTTGACCCCTATTTATCGATACTACCATGGATTTTTTTTTAAGGAAAACTTGAGTTGGTAAATGGACTTTAAAATAATCTTTTAAAGACCTTTTACATCTAATGTAGCATTTACATAAAAGTAAAAAATAAAAATGGAATGAATTGTAAAGTTATTTAAGTACTGAAGTTAATTTTTTTTCTGTGATTTTATTAGTGAGAAATACCTGAGAAATAGGCAAGACACAAGCAAAGGCATGGAGGCAGTTCAGTTGATTGAGGTTGTTCCTATATGTTGACATGTAATGGAGTCCAAAGAATTCATCTTTATTCTAAAAAACTTGCAACCCATTTAAAACTTATTCCATTTGTTGTGTGGAATGCATATGACTTGTAACCTAAATTCATTGCCCTGGCTGCCCCACGTAGAGATGGATGCAAAGACCCCAACAAACCCAGTCAATGTATTAGCTCCAAAATCAAACAATGACAATCAAATCAAATAATGAATCTCAAATTAAGGCAAAAAGTTATTCTTGAGATGAGTCACTCTCTCACCGTCCCTGCTTTTTAGCAAACTTGTTAATTTGGTGCCACCAACCTAAATATTTAAGTGTAAGTACGAATTTCCATTTAATTCACCCACCCCACCCTGACCCCTTAAAAGGGAGATTATTCTCCTAGAATTAGCACCATATTCTTTTGATAATTAGGAAAGGCTGACCTGATACATTGTATCTGTTGTATAACTGATTTGGGTCACTGTCAAGCAAAGCTTAAAACCATGGAATGCAGTGGCTTAACTGTGCTGTTCTTACACATTTTAGACAATGCTTAGCTACCCAGTGGTACAATCCACACCTGGTTCCTTTCATAGCATGTCTCTTTGCTCATAAATCAACACCTGGTGCTTAAGATATCATTAAATGAGGCAGTATTCAGAAGGCATTTTCTACCCTCCCTTTTTTCTTTTATTGTCAGAGATGGATGGGGAAGTGAAATAGCAGATTCCTCAGAGACTATACTACAACCTGTCATCCCCATAAAGCAATAAAAGCAAAATAGTCCTATGCTAAGCGGAAGAAGTTGTATACTTTTTTTTTTTTTTTTTTTGGTATGTGGGTTCATTGGTTCTGGTTCTGGTTTTTCATTTCCTTCTATTCGGCAATCTAACATTAATCTTGTATTTTCTGTTTCTCCCCCAAGCTGACATGGATAGCCTTGAAGGTAATGATACACCCAAGTCCTCTCACAAACCATTCCACCAGAGTCACACACTTGAGCACAGGCTCCGGACGCGCAGGCTCAGCGGCCATGGCTCACGGGCCCAGCCGCTCCGCGGCATGTGGGATCTTCCTGGACCGGGGCATGAACCCGTGTCCCCTGCATCAGCAGGCGGACTCTCAACCACTGCGCCACCAGGGAAGCCCGGAAGTTATATACTTTAAAGTCATCATTATTTAAATAACGCAAGGAGAGTTACACAAAAGGCTCTAAATTAGGAAGGGGAACTTAGAAAATGCTTGCTTGAGAAGTATGTTAGAGACTGAAATTTATAAACCCAAATATGGGAAGAAACCCATTAAGACAGGGAATATTCTTACACTGTGGAAAGCTTTCCTGGTCCACTTGAAACATTCTGAATTCTTCAGTATCAGAGATAAATCTGATATTAATTAAAATTTGTCACGTTCAGTTCCATGGAAGGACTATTTTAAAAGCTCTAAATGTTTTTTTTTTCTTACTTTTTATAGTATCATCTTTTCCCCTCATTGCTTAACTGTCTCTAAATTTCAATGATAGAACAATATTTTAAAGTTCAGATAACTACATTTAGAGGCAGAAACAAACCTAGCTAATTTCTCTACTTTTCTTGGGATCTGGAAGTTTCTAAAGGAAGGTGAGCTTAAGTTTTATTTCCTCTCCTAGAATGAAATAATGCCCCTCTCAATTGTTTAGTAGGCATTTACCACAATGGAAAAGATGGAATCTTAAATATGTCTTTCCTTTTGTTACATACAGTTAGAATTCATTCAGTACTGTTTCTACATTAGGTGTTTCAAAACAAATCATCTTTTCAGAAGTCTTTATTTTTTGGAAATAATTCACAGTATATTTCAATTGGAATTTCAGGTTGTATTTCTCTTACCAACACATCATAAAATTCACACCAAATTGCTCTGCCACCAATGCAAGTTTTTCCCTTAAGTAATCAAAAAGAGATTGTTTCATTGGCCAAATCTAATTTGGAACCAGTGTGCATTGGTGGGGTATGTCATCAGAAGAAAGTTTTATGTCTGCTGAACTAAGAAGAACCTTATCATTTAGGAGAGAGAAAAGATGATTTCAGTTCTTCAGTTCTACAACTGAAGACTACAATTATAGTAGATAATTTATTTCTAACAATTTGTAAACACTGACAGTCCAAACAACAAATATTTAGGAAGGAGCAGCTAGCCCATCTCTATGCTAAAACAGCTAAATTTCCATAAATAAATAAGAACATCTGCTGTTTTTTTTTTAAAACAAAACTATTTGATTCTTACTTAAACGCTAATATGATAAGTGTACCTTAAAACTTGATACATGAAAAATGCAAAGTTTAAAGGATAAAATTAGGAACTTTACATAAGAATTTGCAGTTATTTCTCCAGTGGCATTCAAAATATGAATTGATTTACAAAAAACATTTTCAGGATACTTTGTGTGTTGAACATATCAATAAGGTGCTTCAAAATGTGGATTATATAGTTAGTTGAATTATATAAATGGTATTTCTTTTTCCTCATCTTTCCTTTCTTCTTCCACATTATTTAGAGCTAAGAAAAATAAATTTCTTCCACTATTCACCTGTTGTGATAATATGAAATTTTCCATGAAACATTATTTTTTACATGAAACATGTTTATTTTTAAACTTCAGTGACAGAATTAAACCTGTTTTATTTATACAAAATAGGAGTCCCCTCTTTAAGATGCATGAAATGCCCATGTATACATTTATGCAGTTTAGTCATAAATGTTCCAAACTATATTTTAAGGTATCAGTAAATGCCTTTTGTTGTGAACTATTACTGTAATAACTCATAACATCATGATGAATAGATTCTGTCTCATTAAAAAACAAAACAGAAAACCAAAAAAACCTTTCCAAACTCTTAAGGTTAAAAGAAAAATCTTAACTGTATATTGTCAAAACATTTACACATCCCCGAAAACATCACTGCATGTGGGACTTCCCTGGTGGCACAGTGGTTAAGACTCCATGCTCCCAATGCAGGGGGCCCAGGTTCAATCCCTGGTCTGGGAACTAGATCCCACATGCATGCCACAACTAAGAGTTCGCATGTCACAACTAAGGCACCGCGAGCCACAACTAAGGAGCCCACCTGCCACAACTAAGACCAGACGCAACCAAATAAATAAATATAAAATCACTGGATGTGATTTGCAAATACTTAGCATCAAAAGTACCTAGAGTTAGAGATATTAAATTTCAGTAAAGCTAAATAAATTACTACAATTTTTGCAATTTGTGCAGAGCTTCAGTTTATAATGTGCTTTTCACATAGATCATCTCATTTGATCATCAGAACTCTGGGTGACATGGGTGACAGTGTTACTCCCCCCATTCTGCAGATAAGGAAACTGAGGCTCAG